GAGAGAGAGAGAGAGAGAGAGAGAGAGAGAGAGAGAGATTGTTCTGGGCATTGAACCTAGAGTCTGGTACATGTGATATAGTTACTATTATACTGAGCCTTACTCCAAGTCCTCTCCCCCCCCTTCCCCCGCTTTTACTTTACAGTCATGTCTTGCTAAGTTGTCCAGGATGTGTTTGAACTCTGTAGCCCTGAATTTCCATCCTTTAGTAGCTGGGATTGCAGGCTTGGGCTGTCAGGCCTGGCTTTAATGTATTTCATAAGTAGTTTGATTTTTTTTTTTCCTTGTCTTTAGGTCTAATCCAGGGCCTCACCAGTGGCAAGCCTTCTGCCACCGGACTCTGCTCCCAGGGCAGGGTTACTGTTCTCTCTCCCATCTCTTGTATTCTGTTTGGGATGGTTGTATCTGTAGTTCCTGTTCACTTATCTAGATTTTCCATTCCCGGAATTCCTCAGCGTGTGTTTCCATGTTTCTAAAATTTCCATTTTCAGATCTTGAGCGTTTTGTTTGCTTCTTGTGGCTGAAGACTGCACTTTATTTCCCAGCCTCCCAGACCCAAGTAATCACACAGAGACTATATTAATTATAACACTGTATGGTGAATGGCTCAGGTGTGTTCCTAGCCAGCTCTTCTATCTTAAATTAGCCAATTTCTATTAATCTACATATCACCGTGTGGCTGGGGATTACTGGTAATGTTCTGGCATCTTTCTCCTCCGGCAGCTACACGGTGTCTCTTCAACTCTGCCTACTCTCTCTGTGCATCTCTGTTTGAATTTCCCACCTGGCTTTACTCAGCTAAGCTATTGACTAAAACAGCTTTTTTCATCAACCAATAAAAGCAACACATTCAGAAGGACATCCCATATCATCTTTAAATAAACAGAGACTGTGCTTTCGTTTCCTGGCCACCCAGACACAGACATGAATAATCACACAGAAACTCTATTGATTACAACACTGTTTGGCCAATGGCTCAGGTGTATTTCTAGCTAGCTCTTACACCTCAAATGAACTGATATTTGTTGGTCTATGTATTAACACATGGCTGTGTCGTTATCTCATTTTCTACATGTCTTGTTTTCTCAGCAACTGGCTGGCATCTGCTTGTCTCTGCCTACTCTCTCTACATATCTCTATCGAATTTCCAACCTGGCTTTACTCTGCTAAGCCGTTGGCCAAAAGAGTTTATATGTATATAACACATATACAGAAGGACTTCCCACATCAGCTTCCCTCAACTGTTTTTTTTCCTTGCCTTTCTTTAAGGCATTTATTCATTTCCCACAGTTTTTTGTTTGTTTTCCTCAATTTTTTAAGGGATTTGTTCAATTCTCTTTAAGGGTCATATCATTCATTTAAGATGGTTTTATGGCCATATTCTTTTGCTTCAGCTATATGGAGTATCTGGGGCTTGCTGTGGTGGATGACTGAGCCCTGCCATCTTGCCCTGACTGATGTGTTTTTCCAAAGTCCTTGGGTGCCACACTCAAGTGTGGAAAGCAGTTATGTAGCCCTTCCTTAGCTGTGACTGGATGGTGTCACTGCGAGTTTACTGTTTCGAGACATTGCCAGATCTGGTTTTGCTATTTTTTGTTTTGATTTTTTTTCATTTGATTTTTAGTGTTTGCTTGTTTGTTTGTTTTGATGTTTTCCCTTGGTTTGGGAGACAGATATACAGAAAGATTCCTGGTAATTTTTCATAGATGACAGGAATTTTGTTTATCTTCACATGGTTATTTTTGCATAGAAGAATGTTTAATACATGTATTTATAATGTTCTAGTTCAAGTACTAGAGAATTGATGTTGGAGTCCCCTCTGTATGCTGTGAACATGTTTTATTACCAGTGATGAATAAAGAAGCTGCTTTGGCCTATGGCAGGACAGGATATAGCTAGGTGGGGAAAACGCAACTGAGTGCAGGGAGAAAGAAGGCAGAGTCAGACAGATGCCAGGTAGCCACCCAAGAAGCAAAGTGTGAGGTAATAAACCACGAGCCCAATATAAAACCATAGAAATGGGTTAATTTAAGATGGAAGAGCTAGCTAGGAATACGTCTGAGCTGTTGGCCAAGCAGTGTCGTAGTTAATTATTTCTGTTGTAAATAATGCAGTCTTTGTGTGGTTATCCGGGTCTGGGCGGCTCGGAAATGAAAACGCAGAGCAGTTACAGAGCTTGTCTGCTCGCTGTGGAGAGATCGCTCTCCTGTGGCCGTTCGGTGTTGTGTTTGTCCCAGCAGCCTCTGTCACCGCACCACACTCTGCCTTGTGTACTCGAAGACATGTTCAGTATCGGAATCTCCTTGGGTGTTTTCTCATCCTTGGTAAAAAAAAAATAATAATAATAATTTTTGTTTCCCCACCCACTACCGACTATCACCGCTCACTTGGTTCTGCTCCCCATTACTTGTCTTTGAGTGTAAAATTTGCCCCACCCTGTTTCCCTTCAGTAGACTGGATTGGCATTTGTGTTGGCATTGGGAACCGTGGACACAGAGTGTCAGTACATCTCTTCCTCTTCTATCTCAGGGGTCTCTTTTGTGTGTTTGGTCCTGGGAAGAATCTTCCTTATAGGTCATGGTGCCGCCTGAGCTCCCGCCTTCCTAGCTCTTGTGAGATGCCTTCCGGTGTAAATCGTTGGAGCTCCTGAGGTTGTCCTTCTTGACATCTGTCTTCTCTCTGATATTTTTAGCTCTGCTCCAAGCCGAGTGAATGTCTCACTACCACCGGATCTTTAGTCCTCAGACTATGTATTTTTTTCAGTACTTGGAATTTATCTTTGGTTTCTTCTAAACTTTGTTGATAGCTCTATATGTTTGCTTACTTTCTGACTTACTTGATGCTAATTTTTTAATTTAAATTCCGTGTTATAATATGTAATTCTGGGGCCATTTCCACAGTGTTCTATCATTTCTATTTTCTGAGAAAAAAATAATTTTATTTTCTGCTCTTTTATGACTTGAAACCTTAATTTGCAAGATCATGGATGACAGTTTATTTCTGTTGTTACAGTTCCTTCCTCTAGCGCAACGCCTACCTCTTCCCCAGTCCCCTTTGAAGCCAGGCGCTGCATTAGTAGTTCAGGCCTCCAGGCTCCAGCTTGGCCCAGCCTTGTCCTGGTGTTAGTGTTGACTCTGTTCTTCCCTGTGACCCTGGCAAGTGACTGCAGACAGTGGTCACAATATGTAAGTCATTTTGTTTTCTTCCAGGGAGGTGTTATGTGAGCTTCCTGTTCCAAATGGAAATTCTGATTTCAGTCCTCTGCTAGATTTTCATTTCCAAATGAGGCATCCTATTTCTGATCCTAACACACATAGGACTGGTTCCTTCGCCCCCACTTCCCGTTTGTAGTCTGCACACAAAACTTGACCTTTGTCTGCCACTGATGATGTTAGTTCTTTTGAAATTACTTTAAACCTTGGTTTTTTTATCACTCCTCTGTAGTTTGCATTTAGGAGAGGAAATTTCCACACGAACTTGTTGTGCTGCCTTGAACAGAGTGTTTCAGTGACTCAATGAGAAATGTGTGTTATTTAGGTATGTGTGATATTATGAAGCACTACTGGAAAGCAGAAAAGGGTTAGGAGATCCGTCAGGCTTACGTTATTGTACTCGAGGTGAAGAACAGGTTTTTCTGACTCTCTGTGGACTCTAATATGGTAAAGGATACAGAAGATGCCACCTGGACAACGGGGTAAAAGAGAGATGACATGCTCACAACGTTTTAATGTGGTGAATTCATTTTTCTGACAGCTACTTGATGCAAGAAATAACTGCAACATTGCTGTCTTAGTGTCAGTAATGGGTGCTGCTCAAGCCAGGGATGAGAGTGCAGTTACTCGGGGAAATTAACTGTAGAGCAAAGGGGGTCTAAATATGGAACTTAGGATGAAGATGAAGGCCACAGCAGACCAGACTAAGTGAAGTGCCCCAGAGGAGGCAGCTGGACAGCAGTTCATTTGGTAGATTTTTTTTCTTAAATTAGCAGGCATAGATATCAGGCCTGCAGAGTCAAAACCAAGCGTACAGCAAGCTTGCATTAGTAATGGAGAAAAGCCGGTTTATTTGGGTGTTTGTTGTTATTTGAGGCAGGGTCTCACTGCACAGCCCCATCTGGCCTGGAAATTATTATATTGCTGTATAGATCGGGTGGGCTTCAAACCTTTGCCTTCGGAGTGCTGGATTAAAGGTGCGCCACACAGCGCCAGGCGGGAGATGCTACTTTGTCCAAGAGGCTGGAGGAGAGGAGAGAGGGGTCCACGTGAGGAGCAGCTGAGGGATGGATTCCCGCTTTCCTTTATGGGTGGAGGTGCAGCCTCATACCGTCTGTCAGGCGCGGGCTTTTAGGGACCTGATCTGGGTTTTCTGTTCTTTTCCTAGGAACCAGTCTGTTGTTTAATCTGTATAGCAGTACACGCACTGTGGCTGCTGGACTCTCATGTAACTTTAACATGCTTTGTTAGTTTTCCAGATTATCTTCATTTTTAAAGCCCAATGTCAACAGTAACAGTGGTTACACACTGGCAACCAGAGCAGTGAGGAAGGAAGCTGCCAGCTCTGTATGACACTTCATTTTCTTTATTCTTTTCCTATTTAGGGCATGGGAGGGGGACCTTCTCCTCTCCTCTCCTTGTCTTGTCTTAATCCGCATACTCAGTAAGTCCTTCAGAGGCTAACCAGACTCTCCTGGTGCCCAGCGAGAGCTTCAAGAAGAGGCTCATGTTACCTGGTAAATTATACACCCATTTATAAATGCTGTGAAGTTTTACAGTTAATTAAGTGGTATCATCTTGTAGTGGATTATCCAGATTTATTAATTTATTTTTTCAAACTGGTACACATTGGCCCTGTGACAGTAATGCACTTAGTGTTCTAAAATTGGTACCGCATCTCCTTAAGCGCTTACTTGCAAGTGCAGGGGTAGCCATCGGCATAGGTGACAGCCTACAGGCTGTGTTGGTAAGGGGCGCCATGGTTACTGTTGACTATAAATAGCACCTTCCTCCCATGTTTGCTTCCCTTAACCTCAGCTGAATTAGAGTTGCTCATTGGGTTGAATTTTTTCAGATAAGGTTATATGTCAGAATATACATATGTGTATAAAGTGTGTGCACATTTACACACATGTGTGTACACACCATGTATGTAAAGGGGAGGAAGGGGACAGTGAATGGAATCCTTAACAGTTTTCTGTGCCATGTGGATTATCTCAAGGTAGAAGCAGGACCATTCTCTGCCTTCTGTTCCTTAAATCACACTTTCTTCCTGGTCAGTTTTCCCTAGTGCCCTTCAGCGTAGTTGAACTGTTTTTACTCTTTGGGAGTCCGCTGCGATCCAGCTCCCAAATAAACACACGGAGACGTATTCTTGTTTATGAATGCCTGCCTTAGCTTGGATTCTTTCCAGCTAGCTTTTCTAGCTTAAATTGTCCTGTTTCTTTTCAACTTCATTTTGCTTCTGAACTTTTAGCTTTTTTTATTCTGTATATCTTTCCTTTTTACTCCATGACTAGCCGTGTGGCTGGTGACGGCCCCTAGTGTCCTCTTCTTCTTCCCTTGAGCCTAGGTTTCTCCTCCTGTTTATTTTCTCTGCCTGGCAGCCCCGCCTATTTCTCTCTCCTGCCTAGCTATTGACCACTCAGCTCTTTATTAGACTAATCAGGTGTTTTAGGCAGGCACAGTAACACAGCTTCACAGAGTTAAACAAATGCAGCATAAAAGAATGAAACACATCATTAAACAAATGTTCCACAGTAAAAAGGAATGTAACGTATCTTAAACTAATATTCCACATCACTTCAGATTTTTCCTTCTCTGGATATATTTGAAGGCTAGAAAAACGATAGTATATAAATCATCACAGACGTTTTCATCGTGAAGATGACATACAGGGCACGGCCAGGATTCAGCCCTACAGGGATTAATTCAGTGTAAAAGGTGTTTCCCTTAAACACAGCAGTGAACACCCAGTGCAGTTAGCTTTGTGTGTATTCAGAACAAACAGCTTCATTTTGTGGGAATAATAGTTGAAGAGAAAAAGACAAACAGCCAGTAAGGGGGTGTGTGTCACTGTATGAGGAAGGAAACTTTAAAACAAGGTAAGGGTGCTCGTTCTGTGTCAGTTAAAAATCTGAAACCCGGGCCATTCATAAAGTTCTTTTACAACTGGGTTACGAAATGCACTGGTTAGTGCTCCAGGGTTACTCAGCGCTGACTCTGGAGTCATGAGATAAAGGAGTTAGAGCAGGGAGCACTCACTGTGTGTGCTCCAGTGTTTACCTAGCGCTGACTCTGGAGTCATGAGATGAAGGAATTAGAGCAGGGAGCA